AACTATATATCTATCTATCTATCTATCTATCTATCTATCTATCTATCTATCTATCTATCTATCTATCTATCTATCTATCTATCTATCTATCTACTCTATCTATCTATCTATCTATCTATCTATCTATCTATCTATCTATCTATCTATCTATCTATCTATCTATCTATCTATCTATCTATCTATCTATCTATCTATCTATCTATCTATCTATCTATCTATCTATCTATCTATATATCTATCTATCTATCTATCTATCTATCTATCTATCTATCTATCTATCTATCTATCTATCTATCTATCTATCTCTATCTATCTATCTATCTATCTATCTATCTATCTATCTATCTATCTATCTATCTATCTATCTATCTATCTATCTATCTATCTATCTATCTATCTATCTATCTATCTATCTATCTATCTATCTATCTAACTATTTTAGTTATGCCTAAAAAATCTAAAATTCTTTAGTTAGATACTTTTCTTCCAGTGCATAATTTTCCTTTTACATTTCTTCTGACACTAATTTGTATTAAAATTTGGCAACACTTCTTTTCGCAATGCAAAAATAAAGAAAATTTGCAAAAATAGAAAAATGAAGTAAAGAAAAACAGATAAACATCAATGTAAAGAAGTGATAAAAAGACCGGTGACACGGATCTCCTGCAGAAGTTTATACAATTTGTTGTCTAGCTTTTAAATAATTTAAATAATTCAGGTGAGTTTTCTAATTATAAAACTAAATAAGTAAACATATTTAAATTTGCTATAAATATATTTGCCAACAACTATTTAATGAGTTTTGTGTTCAAATTAAACAAGAAAAAAACCAAGAAACTACCAAGACTGATGACCAATTTCGTTTGTATTGTGTGTGTTTGTATGTAGGGATTTCATCCGTGTCCCCTTGTCACCCACTAAATTTAATGCAATTTTCAATAATATTTTTTTGGCATTTTTCCATTTAACGTCACAGTAGAATATCAATAACTCATGTACAATGTAAATGTGTGTTCAGTTCAATTTTGTGGATAATGGTGTAATTTATTTTTAATTCTTTTCTTTCCTCATGCAACCACCAGTTGATTCTACATTGCTGTTGAACCGCATGTGTATTCTGTTTTCATTGGCCTGTGGTGTGGTGGTACAACATTATAATTTGTTATAATTTTTTCCTCCACGTAACACTTGTGTTTTTGTTTTTTTTTTTTTGGCTTTTGCAAATAAGTTTTTGTTGTTAAACATTAATATTATTTCATTTGTGATGAACATCAATTAATTTAAGTCCAATGTTGTTCTATTGCAAGGAGCAGGGGCAGCAAATACTCATGGATTTCTGTATGTTTTGAATGACTTTATGTAATCGAAAGGGTGTTTTCGTTTCGAACAAGTATTTATACTCGACCACATATTAGTAAGGAGGCTCTAAAGAGTATGTTGAAAATTGTGTGTATAACAATACTTTCTATAGAAAATAAGATGATGAGATATGTTGCCAAACTATTGTGGTGTTTTCCAGACGAAATTATTTGCTATTAGACGAGCAGCGAACTGGCTTAGGTATTATCGCATATATTAGCAATAGAAGAAAATCTGCTAACAAAAGTCTAGCGAGTGTCTTTATGACATTTAAGTTAATCGAATAATGACGGGTTATAGCTGTATAATTAGCCGGCAGTGGCGGGATAAGGGGGAATCTTTACTAAAATCTCTCCTACAAATTACAAGTGAATCGCTTAGAATGAACTGTATGAACAGGTCCAACTCAGATAGACCACCTATCAGACAACTAGGTCTACTTACCCTCTTAATGTTATTATCCGTAATTACAGGTCACAGTGTCACAGGCACTAATGTTAAATGTCTCGAATGCAAAAACTATTGCAGTAGTAGTTGTCATAATGAAGAGAAAGGAGTATGAGACAGTGGATCATCTACTCTGCCAGTGCCCAACAATTACTGTTAATATAGAGCTTCAATTCGTAATGTCTTTTCTTTTAGGTATTGAGTAAACCTGCAACAAACGTTTATCCGAATATTTAGAAAGACATGCTTAATTTAATATTTGAAAGAAATATATTTTATTTATATTATAGCTTCTTTGTGATCGATCTTTTCTTTCATATAATTTATTATTGAAAATAGTCCTAATCAACATCAAAATAACTGTGCTAATTGCTTGACTAATACTGTATTTAAATAAATAACTTGAATGTACAAAAATGTATTTAAATTTAAAATTTATTTTTACTATTATGTGTGTGTGTATTAATAATTTAAATTTTCTGTTTACTCGTCCGAAAGCAAAGATTAATAAAAAGCAATTGTTGTTCTTAACTCTTTGTGTACAATAAATGTTGTCAAGTGCCTTAAATACTATAACGAAAAGAAAAACACTTATTTTTAATTTAATATTTACATTTTTTTTAAAGATAAGATCTTTCATGGTTTTAAATTTTTGTTAAACATTCATTATAACTACACATTATTATTTATATTTTTTGTTTTTATTTTAACGCCATCATCGACAAATAAACAAAACTTTTTGCTATAATTTCAATAAAATATCAAACAAAAATTTATGATTTTTTTAATATTTAAATGTTAAACATTAAAACAGTTTAATGGGAAGATTTATTTTGTATGTCGGTACAACTAAAATGCTTGCCACTCTTAAAACACCAAACTAAGAGATAGCAATAAGGCTTATCTCTTTTTTATATGTATTTAAATGTAACCACACAACTGATAGTGTTGCTAAAAAAAATATTTCTTAAATCAACAAAAACTTTAAATAATCAATTCTTTAACATTTAATGGCAAAATGTTTAAAAATCAAAATAATTCAATTTAAACTAAATATTGTAAAGATTATAGGGAAAATTAGATTTTATCTAAAAGATTCTTTATTATATAATACTTTCAAAGATCTGTTATTAATCAGACATCCTGAGAATGATGAATAGACGTTAATATATATTAGAAAGTACATAGTGTACTAAAAGATGAGTACTGTAATCACTTAAATGTGCTCATTTTATTTTCAAAGATACTACTTGTACATACTTGACTAGTATTTAGTAGGGAAACATTTTCGAAATGACTTGTTGAGAAAAATATTTAGTTGAATTTAAAACGTTTCACGGTATCAATCGAGCGGAATTTAAAAAATATTTTTTGAATATATCTGGTGGGAAAAATAAATTAAAAATTAATTTGTGATATATTGACGTTTTGCATCAATAGTTTTTTTTTTAAAATTTAAACACTTTATACAAACGAAAAGAAAATGGTCATTGATCTTTTAAGTTGATATATACCAAAAACACAATAAACTTTTAATTTAAATTAAAATTTTCTAATGAAAATAATAAATAGTTTTATGTTTTATTATAGTTAATTTATAGAAAACGTATTTATCAATTTGCACTATCATTTTTTAAAATATTTATCAGTTTTTGCTTTTTTTAATATCAACTTAAGTCAATTATCGTTAATGTCAAACTATTTATGTGAAAGTGTTTTTATTTATTTTTTTTTTTTTAATTTTATTCTTGGCACGAGATTTAACAACAAATTGTTAAATTCTTATTAGTGATTTTTTTAAATTTATTTTTGTTAATTTGAATAAAATTTAAAAAATTTATCGCCACGCATGTTTTTTTTGAAAATTATTCAATAAAAATATTTATAGAGATTTTTAATTACAATTATTTGTTTTAAATTAAAATTCCCATTTAATTCTTTTCGTGTTTTTCTTTTGTTATCTACTAGATCATTTATCAATGAATTCCTATTTTACTATTTCGTTGTTTTATAATTTGTTTTTCAGTTTTATTGGTTCTTTTCTTGTCAACGTTTCTTATTTAATTGTAATACAAATTTAATTGTAGAAATGACTTTACAATCAATTAAATATTTACCCGGTAAATTGGAAATACTCGATCAGTTATTACTTCCGGTCCAATCTAAATATTTACCGGTCAAAGGTGTTGAAGATGGTTGGAAGGTTATTAATAAAATGCAGGTAAGTTTTCATTTAGTAAAAGTTTAGAGACATTGTTTGATAATAATGTTAAACTTTTTTTAAATTATTGTTCATACTAAGAAGATATTCTTTTAGGCCTTTTACTATGAAGATAATCGCAACCTTACTTTGTTGGTTTTTCTCAATCTCGTTTAACTGCATCCTAAAAGCTTCTTTTTATTAAAATTATATACCAATTGAGAAATTATTTTTTTTGAAAAGATTAAGCTATTTTTACAAATGTTCTTGCTTCTGTTGTATTTTTAAGCGATAATCTTTGATGACCCAAAAATCTACACGTGCTAGAAAAATCTTTTCAAATTTAATTTAATGAATGGAGATTAAAAACATGTTTTAAAAGAGAAGAAGAAGGAAATAGGTTTAGAATGTATAAAACTTGAGCTGAAAACTCGGAGAAAATTTTTCTCAGAATATTGTATTCTTTTCTGTGGTTGGTTACTGACAACATTGAATGCTTTGTCACGATATATGCCCGTATTCAGAAACACCAACTCAAAATTTGAGTTGAAGTCAAAATTTAATGATTTTACTTTCAGCCCAGGCTGAAAGGCTATTGTACTTTTTTTTCACTACCGCAGTATCCACATAATATAACATAATAGAAACTTTTATTTGGATAATAAGTTAATACATTAACCTACACATATACTAATACATAGATTAGTTTAGTTGAAAAGGGTTCTCAGAATATTAGACAAGTGTATAGACTAGTCCATAGAATAGTCTGTAAACTAGTTATAGATTTATTAATAACCTAGACTATTCAAAAGACTTGTCCATAGATTAGTCAGTTGATTAGTTCATAGACTAGGTAATAGTCCAGTTGTCATTAGACTTAGAATAGAGAAGTAAATAGATAGTCAATAGATTAGTGCGTATATTAGTTAATAGACTAGGCCATACAATAGTCTATAAAACATTTAATAGACTATAGATTTGACAAAAGCCTAGACATAGACTATTCAAAACACTTGTGCACAGATTAGTTAATCGACTAGTGCATAGACTAGCCTTAAACTAAGCAATAGTCCAGTAAATAATCAATAAACCAATCAAATCTTGTTAGTGCATTGGCCAGCAAATAGGCTAGTACATAAATTATTCAATAGACAGGATATAGTTGAAAAATATTTAGTACTTTTATGCCCATTATTAAACCAATAACTAAAGTTAGGTTTTTATATTAAAGATAACACAGGCCGACAAATTTTTAACATACAAACCAAGTGTACTTTTCTAAAGGATTGCGCCGTGCTGAATCCGAATCTAGCCTCAGAATTTTATCACATATCGTATTTGAGATACCATCTCCTGAAGTTTGAAAAAAACACAATTTTTGGTTCTTTTTGAGACGTTATAACTGCTCGAACACAACTTTATTTATAAACTGTTTTATTTTACAAAAAAAAAAAAACTTATACATTCCAAATTTTTAAAATGTGTTGCAGTTACTTAGATATCATCCGTTGAAGTTGAGGGAACGGACAGACATCATTGAGACGAATCATAAAATGATTTAGAGTCGATTTGAACATCTTCAGATAGATGTGTATCTATATTTTTGTTCGTTCCTCTCCTTCCGCACTATTGCAGTACAGGTTATAAAACCATGAATATGCCAAAAATCATGAGTTTTCAAGTTTTAGGTGAAGATATCTCGAAGAAGAAAGAAGATATGTATGTCAGATGTTAAGCCTTTATTTTAAAGTTAATAGAATGAACTTTCAAATGGCATAGAACATTTTACAAATAAAGTTGTCTTGGTGCTGTTATAACGTCTCAAAAGGGGCCAAAAATGGCTTTTTCTCAAATTTCAGGACACGATTTCTAAAATCCCAGATATGATGCAGAAAATCTGAGAGATTCGGATTCAGCGCTGCTCATTCCTTTAGAAATGTCTAACTTGGGCTCAGGGTTTCGACTTTTTTCAAAATTTTCTTCACGTTAATATATGCATACAGGAAGATGAACTAACGGGAAGATCTTTTTATCCTTTATCGATTGCCTTTAACTAAACTACACTTATAATAGCGAAAAACAAATTATGTATATGTAATATAAAATTCTAACTTTAGTTATTGGCAAGTTATAATAATGGGTCTTAATCTATAAAAAGTACCTACTCTTTTTGTAATATTAAAAAACTTTCCATGCCTAGTAGCTGTTTCATATTCATGAAATTTTCTAAAAAATAACTGCTAAAAATGAAATAATTAATAGACTCTAAAAGCTGTGCTACTTAATCTGATAAAGAGTTTTTATCCTTACTTTTATTTGTTGCTAGAAAAAAATAAATAAACAATTGTGATTACTAGCACAATAAAAGAATTATAAAATAAAAATTTAAAAAATTTCTCAATTTTGTTCTACAAATTGTCTGATCCTCCCTGAGCATTTAAATCTTATGTTAATTGTAAAATAAAAAAATTTGGCTACAAGTTATTCATCAACATTCAATAATAAACAAACAAATTACCATAATGTGATTTCAATTAAGGTATTTCAAATGTTTTAAATGTTTTAATTTTGTCTCTCACAAACAATATCAAGAGTTTTCTTTTAAATTTTAAATAATTCATCATTTACTACAGCTATTGAAACACAGAAAACACTAAACATATTAAAAATAGCATTTGTTTATGTTAATGTGGGTTTTTTTTATAATAAAAATAATTTTAACAAATGCTAAAAATAAAAAAATAATGTCTTTATTTTATTTCTAGCTAATATTATACAAAAAGAAAACAAATCATATCAAAAATAAATTGCCATTAATATAAAATTTATTTGCAAAAAAAAATTCTAAAATTCTTGCAAATTTTAAGGCGTCTGTCTAACAAATCATTCATACAGAAGATTATACCAATAAAATGTTTACATGAAATTTCTATAATGTGAAAAAGGCATTTAAATCAAAACTCTTTGATATTTATGAATTTTATGCATATTCACATGTATGTATGTGTATTATAATAAGCAAATAAAACTAACGAAATAATAAAATGCTTAAACAATTAAAAATTATCAATTTACCTACTAATTACTCAACAAATAACAATTTATACCATCCATATGCTAGACACTCTATAATTTAAATCTTAAAAATGCTTTCACAATTTTTAAAATGATAAACGTCATCTACAATACAAGCATATGACAGATGTCAGAGTTTTTAAGAATTCTTTCATTTGAAAGTATTTTTTCATTTTCAATATTAAATATAGATTTTACCAACAAAACTGTTCTAAAAAATAAACAATGTAGTTTCGTAATAGTTAGTCGTTATTGTTTTAAAAGTTTTATAAAATTAATATTTTTAAATTGTTTTGAAAAATATTCCTTTTGAAAGAAATTATTCCTTTGTAACCCATTCATATAACAGATGTAGGAATGTTTAATATTTGTCTCTTGTATTTTATATTCTACCCGTCTGTCCGTCTGTCTGTTGTGTAGCTTTTTGTACAATTTTGAATACATCATAATCAACGTGAAAACATAAGTGTTGACATATTTACACATGTAACACCGAAAACCCTTCTATATTATTAAAATTAAAAAAAAATGTTTTATTCAAGGATGGGTTGTGTTTCTCATCCAGTAGATGAAAAAATTATAGCTTGGTTTAATTAGACCTGGTTCACACTGGGAAACTTTTGTTGAGAAACTTTTGATTTTATGTATGAGAGAAAGAGATCGTTCATATTTATTTCTCTTTCTCTTACACACAAAAATCAAAAGTTTCCCAAAAAAAGTTTCTCAGTGTGAACCAGAGCAAAGAGAGCTTAAGTAGACGTTGTTCCCAAAAGGAAAGTAAGCATGATTGATTTAACTTCAAACATATGTGTCATACACACATGTTAGGATTCCATTACATATATACAAGCTATGATTGAACCAGTATTATTGAGTAATACAAACAGAAGCACAAACACATTACACCTTCCATCCTATAGTGGTATAATATAATAAAAAAGCAATGTCATTGTTAACGAGACTAACCATAGAATAAAAGCGTATTTAATATGAATGTACATTGTACAATAAACTGATGTATTCTGTAACACTTTTTTCTTTTGTGAATTTTTGTTATTGTTTATCACGTGAAGTATGCAAATATTTTCTGTTTTTTTAAGATTTTTTTTTTGTAATATTTTTAAGCTTTTATTTTCTAAAACAAATCAACGCATACGTTCATAGACAAAAAATTGTTGTGTATAATATCTTTTATCTAAAAATGTTCTTTAAGTGATTGATGCTCTTGATTACTTTGGATTGTGTGCTTTTGTCTAAATATACATATAAATCAAATAATCTCTTTAAATTTGAAAATAAACAATTTATTATTTGTTTATTTAATTAATGTCCGTATATGACAAAACATTATTATTAGGGATTAAATACAACGGCACTTCTCAACGGGCGATGAATATATCTACGGATATTGAAAAAATCTTAATTTATTTACTCTTCAATTAATTATTTTATCTTCAGTTCTAGTTCAGTTTTAGTTCAGTTCTAGTTTAGTTCTATTCATTCTAGTTCAGTTGTTATAGTTCAGTTTTTATTCCAGTTTTAGTTTCAGTTCTAGTGCAGTTCAGTTCATTCTAGTTCAGTTCTAGTTCGGTTAGTTCAGTTCTAGTTCAGTTCTGTTCACTTCAGTTCATTCTAGTTTAGTTCAGTTCAGTTCAGTTCAGTTCTAGTTCAGTTCTAGTTTCAGTTCTAGTTCAGCGAGTTCTAGTTCAAGTTCAGTTCAGTTTCAGTTCAGTCTATTCGTTCTATTCTAGTTCAGTTTAGTTCAGTTCTAGTTCATAGTTCAGTTCTAGTTCAGTTCTAGTTCAGCATTCAGTTCTAGTTCAGTTCTAGTTCAGTTCTAGTTCAGTTCTAGTTTCAGTTCTAGTTCAGTTCTATTTTTAGTTCAGTTCTAGTTCTATTTCTAGTTTCTAGTTCAGTTCTAGTTCAGTTCTAGTCATTTCTATTCAGTTCTGTCTTTTTCATTCTAGTTCAGTTCTAGTTCAGTTCTAGTTCAGTTCTGTTCATTCAGTTCCTAGTTCAGTTCTAGTCATTCAGTTTCTAGTTCAGTTCCGTTCAGTTCAGTTCTAGTTCAGTCCTAGTTTAGTTCTAGTTCAGTTCTAGTTCAGTTCTAGTTCAGTTCTAGTTCAGTTTTAGTTCAGTTCTAGTTCAGTTCTAGTTCAGTTCTCGTTCAGTTCTAGTTCAGTTCTAGTTCAGTTCTAGTTCAGTTCTTGTTCAGTTCTAGTTCAGTTCTAGTTCAGTTCTAGTTCAGTTCTAGTTCTGTTCTAGTTCAGTTCTAGTTCAGTTCTAGTTCAGTTCAGTTCTAGTTCAGTTCTAGTTCAGTTCTAGTTCAGTTCTAGTTCAGTTCTAGTTCAGTTCTAGTTCAGTTCTAGTTCAGTTCTAGTTCAGTTCTAGTTCAGTTCTAGTTCAGTTCTAGTTCAGTTCTAGTTCAGTTCTAGTTCTAGTTCAGTTCTAGTTCAGTTCCAGTTCAGTTCTAGTTCAGTTCTAGTTCAGTCCTAGTTTAGTTCTAGTTCAGTTCTAGTTCAGTTCTAGTTCAGTTCTAGTTCAGTTTTAGTTCAGTTCTAGTTCAGTTCTAGTTCAGTTCTAGTTCAGTTCTAGTTCAGTTCTAGTTCAGTTCTAGTTCAGTTCTAGTTCAGTTCTTGTTCAGTTCTAGTTCAGTTCTAGTTCAGTTCTAGTTCAGTTCTAGTTCTGTTCTAGTTCAGTTCTAGTTCAGTTCAGTTCAGTTCAGTTCTAGTTCAGTTCTAGTTCAGTTCTAGTTCAGTTCAGTTCTAGTTCAGTTCTAGTTCAGTTCTAGTTCAGTTCTAGTTCAGTTCTAGTTCAGTTCTAGTTCAGTTCTAGTTCAGTTCTAGTTCAGTTCTAGTTCAGTTCTAGTTCAGTTCTAGTTCAGTTCTAGTTCAGTTCTAGTTCAGTTCTAGTTCAGTTCTAGTTCAGTTCTAGTTCAGTTCTAGTTCAGTTCTAGTTCAGTTCTAGTTCAGTTCTAGTTCAGTTCTAGTTCAGTTCTAGTTCAGTTCTAGTTCAGTTCTAGTTCAGTTCTAGTTCAGTTCTAGTTCAGTTCTAGTTCAGTTCTAGTTCAGTTCTAGTTCAGTTCTAGTTCAGTTTCTAGTTCAGTTCTAGTTCAGTTCTAGTTCAGTTCTAGTTCAGTTCTAGTTCAGTTCTAGTTCTAGTTCAGTTCTAGTTCAGTTCCAGTTCAGTTCTAGTTCAGTTCTAGTTCAGTCTAGTTTCAGTTCTAGTTCAGTTCTAGTTCAGTTCTAGTTCAGTTCTAGTCAGTTTTAGTTCAGTTCTAGTTCAGTTCTAGTTCAGTTCTAGTTCAGTTCTAGTTCAGTTCTAGTTCAGTTCTAGTTCAGTTCTAGTTCAGTTCTAGTTTCAGTTCTAGTATCAGTTCTAGTTCAGTTCTAGTTCAGTTCTAGTTCATGTTCTAGTCAGTTCAGTTCTAGTTCAGTTCAGTTCAGTTCTAGTCTAGTTCTAGTTCGTTAGTTCAGTTCTAGTTCAGTTCTAGTTCAGTTCTAGTTCAGTTCTAGTTCAGTTCTAGTTCAGTTCTAGTTCAGTTCTAGTTCAGTTCTAGTCAGTTCTAGTTCAGTTCTAGTTCAGTTCTAGTTCAGTTCTAGTTCAGTTCTAGTTCAGTTCTAGTTCAGTTCTAGTTCAGTTCTAGTTCAGTTCTAGTTCAGTTCTAGTTCAGTTCTAGTTCAGTTCTAGTTCAGTTCTAGTTCAGTTCTAGTTCAGTTCTAGTTCAGTTCTAGTTCAGTTCTAGTTCAGTTCTAGTTCAGTTCTAGTTCAGTTCTAGTTCAGTTCTAGTTCAGGTCTAGTTCAGTTCTAGTTCAGTTCTAGTTCAGTTCTAGTTCAGTTCTAGTTCAGTTCTAGTTCAGTTCTAGTTCAGTTCTAGTTCAGTTCTAGTTCAGTTCTAGTTCAGTTCTAGTTCAGTTCTAGTTCAGTTCTAGTTCAGTTCTAGTTCAGTTCTAGTTCAGTTCTAGTTCAGTTCTAGTTCAGTTCTAGTTCAGTTCTAGTTCAGTTCTAGTTCAGTTCTAGTTCAGTTCTAGTTCAGTTCTAGTTCAGTTCTAGTTCAGTTCTAGTTCAGTTCTAGTTCAGTTCTAGTTCAGTTCTAGTTCAGTTCTAGTTCAGTTCTAGTTCAGTTCTAGTTCAGTTCTAGTTCAGTTCTAGTTCAGTTCTAGTTCAGTTCTAGTTCAGTTCTAGTTCAGTTCTAGTTCAGTTCTAGTTCAGTTCTAGTTCAGTTCTAGTTCAGTTCTAGTTCAGTTCTAGTTCAGTTCTAGTTCAGTTCTAGTTCAGTTCTAGTTCAGTTCTAGTTCAGTTCTAGTTCAGTTCTAGTTCAGTTCTAGTTCAGTTCTAGTTCAGTTCTAGTTCAGTTCTAGTTCAGTTCTAGTTCAGTTCTAGTTCAGTTCTAGTTCAGTTCTAGTTCAGTTCTAGTTCAGTTCTAGTTCAGTTCTAGTTCAGTTCTAGTTCAGTTCTAGTTCAGTTCTAGTTCAGTTCTAGTTCAGTTCTAGTTCAGTTCTAGTTCAGTTCTAGTTCAGTTCTAGTTCAGTTCTAGTTCAGTTCTAGTTCAGTTCTAGTTCAGTTCTAGTTCAGTTCTAGTTCAGTTCTAGTTCAGTTCTAGTTCAGTTCTAGTTCAGTTCTAGTTCAGTTCTAATATAATTCTAGTTTGCTTCAAATTCAGTTTTCGATTTAAGTACTTCATTAAACATATAACAAATATATAAATTTTTGTCTAATCTCTCTAATTAACAGGTACGCGGTGCACCTGCTATTGCAATAGTTGGCTGTCTCTCATTGGCAGTTGAAATTTTTCCTGAAAACTTTGATTCGAAAAAGTCTTTGCGTCAAGAAATTGAAGGTAAACTAAACTATTTGGTATCGGCAAGACCAACAGCGGTAAATATGAAAATAGCTGCAGATGAACTTATTGCTCTGGCCAATGATCTAACAAAAGATGAAAGCATTTCCGTGGAAGAAATGAAACTAAAGTATGTTTTAGTGTATATGGCTAAATATAAATTTGATTAAACATGTTTTATCTTCTAAAGATTCCTAGATGCTACTGAAGCTATGCTGCAAAAAGACATATCTGACAATAAAGCCATTGGTACGAATGGTGCAAAAGCTATATTGGAAAATGCCAATAAAGATGGACCCGTACGTGTACTAACTCACTGTAATACTGGTTCACTGGCAACAGCTGGTTATGGCACTGCATTGGGAGTTGTTAGGAAATTACACGAATTAAAGAAACTAGGTGGGTAGTTAAATAAAGAGAAATATTAAACAAAATATTTCTATAAAATAATTTTTTTGATTTAACTAATAGAACATGTATACTGCACGGAAACCAGACCCTATAATCAAGGAGCTCGTTTGACAGCCTATGAATTAGTACATGATAAATTGCCAGCTACACTGGTATTAGATAGTATGGTAGCCGCTTTACTACGTGCTAAAAATGTAGCCGCGGTGGTAGTAGGAGCCGATAGAGTAAGTTATATTGTTATTAAAGATTTCTGACAATCCCTAAATTACATATAATTAATCTAATTGACAGGTCGCAGCTAATGGTGATACAGCCAATAAAATTGGCACTTATCAAATTGCCGTCGTGGCCAAACATCATGGTGTACCATTCTTTGTGGCTGCACCTTTAACTTCTATTGATTTACAAATACCTAGTGGTGATCATATTATAATTGAGGAGAGACCCGATCGTGAGATGACTCATGTGGGTGAGCATAGAATAGCTGCACCTGGTATTAACTGTTGGAATCCTGCCTTTGATGTTACGCCCGCTTCACTAATTACTGGCATAATTACGGAACGTGGTGTCTTTAGTCCACAAAAACTTAAAGATGAAATTAGCGCTTTATTAGAACTCTAAAGAATTTTTTTCGCTTATAGTTAGTAAGACTTAAAAAACTTTCCCTCTTTTCCTTCTTAAAAAAAAATCTTTTCTCAACATTTAACTATATATTAAACCTAAAGTAGTTAGAATTTAAACAGCATCATTTTTTATATAAAAAATTCTTTACACTTAGTTGTGATATTGTTAACATGAAAAACTTACTATATTATATACAAACAATATGTATTTTTTGATACAATTATTGTCAAAAAATATTATTACATTATTAAAACATACTGCAGATTATGGCTAGAATTTAAATACATCATTGATTTCGAAAAAATAGAAATATCGGAAATAATAATTATGCTTAAAATTTAAGTACAATATTAAAAAAAAATAAAGAATAACATTTATTTTTATTCTCAATAAGTGAATAATAAATATATCGGAAAAAAATATATTTTATTCAAGTGGATGGAAAAAGCCTATAATTGAGGGCAATATATCGACTTGTGGTCAATCACATTTTTGATCAGTATTAATTTTATACACGAAAACTCATAAAATTAAAAATATTTCTATAAAATTTCGAAAATAATCGTTTAATCGATCTGTGATCACATTGAAAAAAGATCGAGTTTTATATAAAAAATCTTTAACGATCATTTTATCATAAAAGGGAGATCAGGAATATGGAAAAGTAAACATCAACGAAAAGGTTTATAGTAACCTTTGATAAATGTTTATGAATAAGCAGAAAATCTTTAGAAACGTAGATATAATTCTAAACAAAAATCTTTATTTAGTATGATAATGTTAAAAATCCAAAAAGGATCTCGATCATCACACTTCTGGACAGTTTTTATATGAAAACCTAACAAATTATTAAAATTTTAGTAAGTTTTCTAGTTCAGTTCTATGTAGTTCAATTTTAGTTCTAGGTGATTTCTAGTTCAATTCTAGTTGACTTCTATTTCAGTTCTAGTTAGTTCTATGTAGCTCAATTTTAGCTCTAGGTGACTTCTAGTTCAGTTCTAGTTTAGTTCTAGTTGACTTCTTGTTCAGTTCTACTTCAGTTCTAGTTTTAGTTCAGTTCTAGTTTAGTTTTAGTTCAGTTCTAGTTCAGTTATAGTTTAGTTCTAGTTCAGTTGAAGTTCAGTTCTAGTTGAATTCTAATTTAGTTTAGTTCAGTTCTAATCCAGTTCTACTTCACTTATAGATGAGTTCGAGTTCAGTTTTTATCCAGTAATACTTTAGATGTAATGGTAAACAACATTAGTTTTAAAAAAGTTGACAAATCTTAAATCGGAAATAATTTCAAATCAATAGTGTTGATTCCATAAAGTTAATAATTCTGTAGATAAAAGTTTAATCGTGTCTTCATTTGAGATTATATTTCCACGCTTTAGGATATAACAATGAGATAATTAACCTACTAACCTAAATCAGAATTTGTGAAACATATGTATGTCTTAAAAACAATAAGTAAATAAAGAAAATGTTTAAAACTCACTTACCCGTATAAAAAGATAACAGTTGAATGAAAATAATGGCACGTTGAATAACACTGCCAAAATTCGGATGAAAAATGATCGTGTTATTTCTTTTGCTGGCTCTGGCAACTTTTCAAAACACACAATGTGGTAAATACATATAATTTTAAAAAGATTTTTCTTCATATTTGAATAAACCAAATGCCTTGTCTTTAAGCTTATTCCGCCATTAAACAGCCACTCAATGTCGAAACTAATTATCGCAACATGTTGTTGCGTTTAAATAATCGTCTTGATAATGTAAGTCCCTCGATACACATACGCGAGGGTAGAGTTGAGGTCAGTTTTAATTACGGTCGAACCTGGGGTACAGTTTGCGCAACCCACTGGAGTTATCGAGAGGCGAATGTTGTGTGTAAACAATTAAATTTAGGTTATGCTGCCTTCTCCAATCAAACACAACAATTTGGCACAAGCCATAGGTATCCCTGGAATATGGTGGGTACACTATGTCGTGGCACCGAACACAGTTTAAGAGATTGTTTTCGTGAATCTCAATATCCAAGAGCCTGTAATGCAACTAATCGAAACGTAGCTGTAGTAAGATGTGTAGAGAAACTGTCAGATTTAACATTAGGTATACAAGATATTGAACAGTCTGCTTATTTGGATACACAGCCATTGCAAAGATTAACATGTGCCATGGAAGAGAATTGTTTATCGAGAGATGCATATCGTATTATACTCACACAGCCCCAGGCTTTGCGTAAATTGTTACGTTTTACTACAAGAGCGGAAAACGTTGGCAGTGCTGATTTTAGTCCATATGCTAATTATGAGCAATGGCAATGGCATCAGTGTCATAATCATTATCATAGTATGGAATCATTTGCATCATTCGATATATATAATATGAGCTATCAGAAGGTGGCTCAAGGTCATAAGGCATCATTTTGTTTGATGGATACTGCCTGCAAATCGGGCATAACTCCGAAGTATACCTGCGGCAATAGAACACAAGGTAAGTCGATGAAATGTCCTATAATGTATACAGTGATCATTTTAGGTTTTATATTTTATTTTTCTTAATTAAGAGCATAATTAGAAAAATAATTATATAAGCTGTTTCTGTATCACGGAGGTGTACTTTCGGTGCAAATTTTACAAGTATTTTGTTTAAAATACCTTAATTGTAGAGATAGGTTGGCAAAAACAAATTAAGGATTCTAGGATGGATTGCAGAGTATTTAAGGTCATGTGGACAATATGGAACACCAAGGCAAGCATAATACAATCTTAATAGTACTATGGTTGCCTTCGTGTTTTGTTAGAAGAGTATAAGGAAACTATAGGAGTACCACAAATACAAGGAAATGAGAGCCTTTTAGGTAATGTGTGATACCAACACGAGATTTTGGAGGGTCGGGAAGAGGAAGAGGAAAGTAAGCAGAGCAAGAGGCAGAAAAGAGAAAGGAGAGGAAGAAGAGACCACAGGGGGAGAGAGAAAACCCGGCGGGGGGAGAAGGAGAAAAAGGGGAGGGGAGAGACAAGGGGGAGAAGGAAGAAAAGAAGGCCGGGGAAGACGGCCACGGCCGCCGGGCGGGGGGGAGAGAAAAAGCGCACACGGGCCAGGGGAAAGGGGCCACGCGAACGGAGCGAGCCAGCGAGCGAGGAGCGAGCGAGCGAGGAGCGAGCGAGCGAGCGAGCGAGCGAGCGAGAGAGCGAGCGAGAGCGAGCGAGCGAGAGCGAGCGAGCGAGCGACCAGAGCGAGCGAGCGAGCGAGCGAGCGAGCGAGCGAGCGACGAGCGAGCGAGCGAGCGAGCGACCGAGCGAGCGAGCGAGCGAGCGAGAGCGAGCGAGCGAGCGAGCGAGCGAGCGAGCGAGCGAGCGAGGCGAGCGAGCGAGCGAGAGCGAGCGAGCGAGCGAGCGAGCGAGCGAGCGAGCGAGCGAGCGAGCGAGAGCGAGCGAGCGAGCGAGCGAGCGAGCGAGCGAGCGAGCGAGCGAGCGAGCGAGCGAGCGAGCCGAGCGAGCGAGCGAGCGAGCGAGCGAGCGAGCGAGCGAGCGAGCGAGCGAGCGAGCGAGCGAGCGAGCGAGCGAGGAGCGAGCGAGCGAGCGAGCGAGCGAGCGAGCGAGCGAGCGAGCGAGCGAGCGAGCGAGCGAGCGAGCGATGAGCGAGCGAGCGAGCGAGCGAGCGAGGCGAGCGAGCGAGCGAGGCGAGAGCGAGCGAGCGAGCGAGCGAGCGAGCGAGCGAGCGAGAGCGAGCGAGCGAGCGAGCGAGCGACGGCGAGCGAGCGAGCGAGCGAGCGAGCGAGAGCGAGCGAGCGAGCGAGCGAGCGAGCGAGCGAGCGAGCGAGCGAGCGAGCGAGCGATCGCGAGCGAGCGAGCGAGCGAGCGAGCGAGCGAGCGAGCGAGCTAGCGAGCGAGCGAGCGAGCGAGCGAGCGAGCGAGCGAGCGAGGGCGAGCGAGCGAGCGAGCGAGCGAGCGAGCGAGCGAGCGAGCGAGCGAGCGAGCGAGCGAGCGAGCGAGCGAGCGAGGAGCGAGCGAGCGAGCGAGCGAGCGAGCGAGCGAGCGAGCGAGCGAGCGAGCGAGCGAGCGAGCGAGCGAGCGAGCGAGCGAGCGAGCGAGCGAGCGAGCGAGCGAGCGAGCGAGCGAGCGAGCGAGCGAGCGAGCGAGCGAGCGAGCGAGCGAGCGAGCGAGCGAGCGAGCGAGCGAGCGAGCGAGCGAGCGAGCGAGCGAGCGAGCTAGCGAGCGAGCGAGCGAGGAGCGAGCGAGCGAGCGAGCGAGCGAGCGAGCGAGCGAGCGAGCGAGCGAGCGAGCGAGCGAGCGAGCGAGCGAGCGAGCGAGCGAGCGAGCGAGCGAGCGAGCGAGCGAGCGAGCGAGCGAGCGAGCGAGCGAGCGAGCGAGCGAGCGAGCGAGCGAGCGAGCGAGCGAGCGAGCGAGCGAGCGAGCGAGCGAGCGAGAGCGAGCGAGCGAGCGAGCGAGCGAGCGAGAGAGCGAGCGAGCGAGCGAGCGAGCGAGAGCGAGCGAGCGAGAGAGCTATCTATCGAGCTAGCTAGCGATCTATCGATCTAGCGAGCGAGCTATATGACTAGCGATCTATAGCGAGAGAGCGAGATATCGATCTATCTATCGAGCTATCGAGCTATCTATCTATCTCTATCTATCTATCTATCTATCTATCTATCTCTATCTATCTATCTATCTATCTATCTATCTCTATCTATCTATCTATCTATCTATCTATCTAGTTCGGAAAATGGTTTTATTTTATTAAAACAAACTCTACATTTCTTTATTCTAGGCATTTCAATTGGTTGCTGGGATACTTACAGTACTGGCTTAGATTGTCAATGGGTGGATGTTACAAATCTGCCTACGAATAGAACATATATCTTAAGAATTGCCATTAATCCGGAATATATGATTGGTGAAGTTAGCTTTGAAAATAATGGTGCTGAATGTTTGCTCCATTATACGGGTGAACGAAATACAACCAGAGTTACGAATTGTACACGTTCGCCATTGTGGTATAATAAGTAATGCGGAGTGTTATTACTGCTGTTAGAATATTAATTTAGTTTTAATATTTTTTATGTGGTGTCAGGTATAAAATTTTTTCTATATATTTCTTTTTAATTTATAATTTAGTCTGGAAAAAAAAGAAAAGTTAAAATGTGAAATAGATTTGTGGCGAAAAAAATAGGCTGTTAAATAAATAAAAAATAATTTTATGAAATATTGTCATACATATATCGATAACGATTTAAATAATTCATAAATATATTTCATAAACACTTGTTTTAACTATTTTTGTTATATTGTTTTTTATTATTACGTTATTACCATTACAATTATTTTTTTTTGTTTCTTCTTTATTTTTTTTTAAATTAATATTTTTATCAATATATTTATATATTCGTGTTTTAAATTTATAAAATACAAAAAATTGTTATTTTATCGTCTAAGGTAAAATTTACAAATTATTAAAAGCAGTTAAAATAAGAAATTAAAATTTGTTTTTTTTCTTCTTTCCTGTTTCATGTTATTTCTAATAGTGAAACAAAAAAACAGTAATTTTTCTTTAATAAAATTAATTTAATTATTGCAACATAAGGAGGCACTTTAAACAAAAAAATTATAAATAATTTTCTTTTGTTTTGCAAAAATTTTTATTTAATAAAAAATGGAGTATTAGGAAAATAAATATAATGACTAAAAACAATTAATTAACACTTAATTAAATGAAAAATATTAAACAAAACAAATATGTATGTAATTGTATACCGAATACTAAGTATGTTAATGTATTTAGAAGAGGCCTTCTATCTCATGAGCTTTGGATTTATGTGGGTTTTATATTTTAGATAATTTTTTTTTCTTCTTGTTCTATCTTTGAATATATGTATGTAATTGTTTTCAATATGAATGGAATTTCATTAATTATTATTTGCATTTCAATTAATTTTTTAGGTTTTTACGTTTTTTTTTTCTTTCTACTTTACTAAAGTATAATATAAATTTATAGTTAGTACCTTTCAATTTATGCGTTAAATTTATTTTTTTTTATATTTATTAAGTTAAGGGTTTTTTATTAATTATTTATGGTATGGTTTTTTATTGTTTACTTATTTTTTTAATATGTATGTATGTGCACAAGTTTTTGTAATTGTTTTTAATGCTTTCTTTCAAATATTTTAGAAAATATTATTTTCAATTATTTAATCAAATCCACTTATCATTTTATAAAATACCAATGCTAAAGTTTAAAAAAAAAAATTTAACAAAATTCTAAAACAGTAAATAGAAGTTTACAACGAAATTGAATGGATTATAAAATTGTAATCATTTTATACTGAATATTTGTTCTTTAGTACGTTTTTTGAAGCTGTTTGCATTATTATGTTAATATTTCTTTTTTTAAAACAATTCTTATAGAGGTGACATTCGTTTTATCGAACGGTTGTGGAATCCGTTCTCTTATTAAGGAATTTGTGACTTGTTCTAAATAAGCCTTAGAGAAACGTTATAAAGTCGATATTCATTCGAAAGGTTCTGATACTAATAGTTTATTTAATGATATTTGTGCGAAATATTTAGAATTTAAAGGAAAAAACGTTCAAGAACCCATGTGTGATTATAGATTGTACTTGATCTATTTTGGTGTTGAAATCATTGATTATTTTTCTAAATTGCCACCTTCGGAAATGTTTTTGTTATCGAGTCGACAATCGTTCTATAAAATGGTTCTGATTTAATCAATGTTTTTGTTATAATTCATCATCTCCGGAACTAGTTCTTTGAAATATTTAGAGAACACATTGACCTCTTTTGAAACACTTCCGAAACTAGTTCCATTACAGAGATTTTTGTGTGATATTGTTAACAAGAAGTTTTTTCGGAACTTATATGCAATTCGTTGAACTACTGTATTACCAATGTTTAACTAGTGTCAAAGAACTAGTTCTTGAAATACTCTTTAGAAGTACGTCGGAACCACAACAATCACCCCTATCGCCAATCAACATTTCACTTGAAATATGTTCCCTTTTTCTCGTTCACTAACTTTTTTGTTGTGAAAAAAATTGCCCTGTTGTGAAATTTGTTAATGGAATTTTGTAAACATTGAACAGCTGTTGTATACAAAATCAACTATTGTGAATGAATTGTTCACAACAAGTTCACGATAGCAATTTTCCCTTCGAGGGGAATGAAAATTTCAAGTGAACAAAAATTTCACTTCTATTGGCGATAGGGGTGAATATACCACAGAACGGGTTCTAAAAGAAATGCCGACATCACAAGATCTAAAGTTGCTGTTCATGAATCTGAAATAGTTCCCGTTCCGAGTTTTTTTTATTATAATTAAAACTTTTATTAAAAAACTAATAATTTTTTATTTTTTTTTTTATTTCCACTCATTATAAAGAATTTTTGATAAGTTTCTTTAAAGAAAACTTTTCATAATTTTCTGGTTTTATTAAATTTTCAAAAAAAATATGCTCTTAATAGAAAATGTTTGACACATTTTGTTGTTTTTTATTGATAATTGTCACTAATTTAATTTTTTTATTAAAATTTTCAATATTATTTTTTTATACAAAAATTTTTGGATTTCTTATAATATTTTTGATATTTTTCCTTTTTTAAGAAAATTTTCAATGATTTTCTGTTTTTGTGGAAAATTTTCAATTATTTGCAGACATTTTTACAGAAAATTTGCAATAATTTAATTTTTTTAAAGAAATTTTTAAATAATTTTAAATTTTTTAAAGAAATTATCAATGCTCTTTCAAAAATTTCCTCTTTTTACAAAAAATGTTATAGACAATATTTTTAAAGAAATTTTCGATTTTCTTTTGTTTTTTTTTTAGAAAAATTTATATAATTTTGAATAGACGAAACTGTTAGACAATATATTTTTAAAGAAAAAACTGTGTTATAATCAATTTCTATAAAAAACTGTTATACATATAAATATATAGAGAAAAACAGTTTTATATAGAAAAACTGTAATACAAAAAATTATTCTATAGAAAAAAACTGCTATACAAAAATTTTTCTAAAAAAAACTGTTATACAAATATATCTGAAGAAAAAAAAACGTGTTATACACAAAAATTTCCAAGAGAAAAACTGTTATATATAATATTTTTATAAAATAACTGTTTCTACTGTTATGCACAAAATTTGTCTATAGAAAGAACTGTAATTCTGGATATATTTGCTTTTACAAATATGAACCAGAGTTAGTTTAGGTTAGTTTTGTCATTACTATTTTAGAAATTTGTTAAAATTTTTCTTTCAAAACTTTCAAATCAATATAAACTATTTTGTTGTACATAATAACTTCGAACACATTTGTAGTTAGTATTATTCTTGTCATTATTCTTCTTTAAAATCTTATTGGTTGGTTCTTCTTTACATGATTTTTTTTTTAAGTTAAAAAATAAATTTAAAAAATATATTTATAATTTAGAGTATATAGTTTTATGCGTATTTTTACTTGTGCTTTTAGTTATACATATAATTTATATATAACATTTTAGGCTTAAAAATTGTTTTATTATTTAAAAAATAATATTTTAATAAAAATATATAGTCTTTTTAAATTTCGTAAAAAGTAAAGTACATAAAAAGTATAATTTATACATAAATTAAAAAAGAGTTGTTATATACAGACACTCATACACATGAAACTAATTCTAACAAAAAAAAAAAAAACTGAGTTTGCTAAAATAAAAAAATTGACTCAGTTTTTATTAAAGAATATCTTGTGCTTATTGTACCTACATATGTATGTATGTTAACTAAATATATAATTAAAAAATATAATAATATACAAATGATAAACAAAATAATTAATAATTAAAATAAACTTAAAAAAATAAAAATCGACTTACTTGTTGTTAAATACAATTAAAACCATTTCGGCTCCTTTAACATAATAAGGAGCAACAATTTGAAAGCTTAGCGCTGGCTATGTTGTTTGTATAATGTGTGTTGTGTAGTTGCTTGGTTGTTGTTTTGAATTGCTGTGTTGTTTACTCTTGACATTGGAGTAGTTTTACAACATTTCAATTGAGTTTTTTTGTTTTACTTAATATTTTAACATAATCTTTAGCATCAAGGGGGGGTTGGTTGGTTTAATTTCAATTTAATTTTCTTAATTATTTAGTTTAGTTGTAATGTTATATGTATTTGTTATTTTTTGTTTGCGTTTCTCAATCGAATTAAAAATTTGCAATTATGTTTCTTATGAATTGTTAAAATGATGATGATGATGTTTTTTTTCTACGGATATTATTGAAAATGTATTATTTTCAATCATTTGTGCTTTTTAAAGTAACTTTTGTTGTTAAAGAGTTATTTTGACAATTAGTTTTTATTATGCTTCGATTAGCAGCAAGTGTTGTATTCTATCAGCTTTCAACGGTTGTTGAACTAACACTGTGACTAGTAGTTAATAAATGTTCAGGAATGGGTATGGGTTGTGTCCTAGCTGGTTGTTTTTTCTATAAAAATTCAAAAAGAAAAAAAAAAAAATCAATAACAATTTAAATACTAAAGGGGTTTATAGAGCTTACCTTTCTCCTAAAGGGAAAACAACCAGATGTATCCGGCTGCGGTGTGGCATTGATAAGTAAATCTGGCGTTGGATTATCATCGGGACCAAAAACATTTAATTCTCTAAAACATTCGGTTTCCATCATTTCATTTTGCCATGATATTGACACAGATCCCGTATTGAATTTCGTATAAAAATTCGAATCGGATTCATCAATATTCACACCTTTAACTGTTGAAAATTGTTCGATATCCAAGACATCTTTGGCATAAACAGCATGTGGCTGTAATTTAAAAGAAATTTGAATAAATATTTCCAAATTTATGAAAATCATTTTTAAACACAGGGAAAAAATCGACGAAAAGAGAACTAGTCGCGTCTATAGTCTAGTCTAAAATCTAATCTAGTCTATAGTCTAGTCTTTAGTGTAGTGTATAGTCCAGTCTATAGTCTAGTGTATAGTCTAGTGTATAGTCTAGTCTATAGTAGTGATAGTATAGTGTATAGTCTAGTCTATAGTCTAGTCTATAGTCTAGTTATAGTCTAGTCTATAGTCTAGTCTATAGTCTAGTCTATAGTCTAGTCTATAGTCTAGTCTATAGTCTAGTCAATAGTTAGTCTATAGTCTAGTCTATAGTCTAGTCTATAGTCTAGTCTATAGTCTAGTCTATAGTCTAGTCTATAGTCTAGTGTATAGTCTAGTCTATAGTCTAGTCTATAGTCTAGTCTATAGTCTAGTCTATAGTCTAGTCTATAGTCTAGTCTATAGTCTAGTCTATAGTCTAGTCAATAGTCTAGTCTATAGTCTAGTCAATAGTAGTCTAGTTAGTCTATAGTCTAGTCTATAGTAGTCTATAGTCTAGTCTATAGTCTAGTCTATAGTCTACTAGTCTATAGTATAGTCTATAGTCTAGTCTATAGTCTAGTCTAGTATAGTCTAGTCTATAGTCTAGTCTATAGTCTAGTCTATAGTCTAGTCTATAGTCTAGTCTATAGTCTAGTCTATAGTCTAGTCTATAGTCTAGTCTATAGTCTAGTCTATAGTCTAGTCTATAGTCTAGTCTATAGTCTAGTCTATAGTCTAGTCTATAGTATAGTCTATAGTTAGTCTATAGTCTAGTCTATAGTCTAGTCTATAGTCTAGTCTATAGTCTAGTCTATAGTCTATAGTCTAGTCTATAGTCTAGTCTATAGTCTAGTCTATAGTCTAGTCTATAGTCTAGTCTATAGTAGTCTATAGTCTAGTCTATAGTCTAGTCTATAGTCTAGTCTATAGTCTAGTCTATAGTCTAGTCTATAGTCTAGTCTATAGTCTAGTCTATAGTCTAGTCAATAGTCTAGTCTATAGTCTAGTCTATAGTCTAGTCTATAGTCTAGTCTATAGTCTAGTCTATAGTCTAGTCTATAGTCTAGTCTATAGTCTAGTCTATAGTCTAGTCTATAGTCTAGTCTATAGTCTAGTCTATAGTCTAGTCTATAGTCTAGTCTATAGTCTAGTCTATAGTCTAAAGTATAGTCTAGTAGTCTATAGTCTAGTCTAGTCTAGTCTATAGTCTAGTCTAGTCTAGTATAGTCTATAGTATCTATAGTCTAGTCTATAGTCTAGTCTATAGTCTAGTCTATAGTCTAGTCTATAGTCTAGTCTATAGTCTAGTCTATAGTCTAGTCTATAGTCTAGACTATAGTCTAGACTATAGTCTAGTCTATAGTCTAGTCTATAGTCTAGTCTATAGTCTAGTCTATAGTCTAGTCTATAGTCTAGTATCTAATAGTCTAGTCTAGTCTATAGTCTAGTCTATAGTCTAGTCTATAGTCTAGTCTATAGTCTAGTCTATAGTCTAGTCTATAGTCTAGTCTATAGTCTAGTCTATAGTCTAGTCTATAGTCTAGTCTATAGTCTAGTCTATAGTATAGTCTATAGTCTAGTCTATAGTCTAGTCTATAGTCTAGTCTATAGTCTAGTACTATAGTCTAGTCTATGTCTAGTCTATATCAGTCTATAGTCTAGTCTATAGTCTAGTCCTATAGTCTAGTCTATAGTCTAGTCTATAGTCTAGTCTATAGTTCTAGTCTATAGTCTAGCTATAGTCTAGTCTATAGTCTAGTCTATAGTCTAGTCTCTAGTCTAGTCTATAGTCTAGTCTATAGTCTAGTCTATAGTCTTAGTCATAGTTAGTCTATAGTCTAGTCTATAGTCTAGTCTATAGTCTAGTCTATACGTTAGTCTATAGTCTAGTCTATAGTCTAGTCTATAGTCTCGTCTATAAGTCTTAGTCTATAAGTTCCTAGTCTATTAGTCTAGTCTATAGTCTAGTCTATAGTCTAGTCTATAGTCTAGTCTATAGTCTAGTCTATAGTCTGCTATAGTCTAGTCTATATTCTAGCTATAGTCTAGTCTATAGTCTAGTCTATAGTCTAGTCTATAGTCTAGTCTATAGTCTAGTCTATAGTCTAGTCTATAGTCTAGTCTATAGTCTAGTCTATAGTTCTAGTCTATAGTCTAGTCTATAGTCTAGTCTATAGTCTAGTATAGTCTAGTCTATAGTCTAGTCTATAGTCTAGTCTATAGTCTAGTCTATAGTCTAGTCTATAGTCTAGTCTATAGTCTAGTCTATAGTCTAGTCTATAGTCTAGTCTATAGTCTAGTCTATAGTCTAGTCTAGTCTAGTCTAGTCTAGTCTATAGTCTAGGCTATAGTCTAGTCTATAGTGTAAAAAGTATGCTTTTTGTTATAAGTAGTAATACATATTTCAAAATTTCAATTATCCATTTCTGCTAACAATTGATCACAACTACTTACATCTGGTACAAATGGTGGGTCAACCATACCAGCCTCTAAACGCTTCCAATTGATACAATTAAAGAAGGGATGCAATTTAACTTCCCTAGCACCAAAACGACCATTACGACAGCCTAAACGTAATTTTATAGATTTGGCTAGCAACTGTTGGCATAAGGATCTGGCTTCATCATTAAATTTACTAGAATATTTTTCGGGATCCTCCTATTAAATCGAAAAGATAAATTTTAAAAATAAACTATAACAGAAATACTTTATCGTATAATAACTACCTTAACTCTTCTATCGACTTCTTCACGCTTGACTTTTTCTTTGCGCGCTCTAAATGGTGCCTGACCCTCAATCATTTCATACAGCAGACAACCAAAACTAAACCAATCCGGAGAAAATGAGTATTTTTCATTGTCTATAACTTCGGGTGCCATATAACCTAAAAAGTAATAATTAATTACTCCGTTCACATTATTTAAAATCATTAACTTACCCACTGTTCCTACACGTCCTCTAACCATTTCACCATCAATTTCAACAGCTAAACCCAAATCGGAAATTCTTACATGGCCATGATCATCGAGTAATATATTTTCGGGTTTACAGTCTCTATAAACAATACCCTGTTGATGTAAATGCTCTAGACCGCAAACAACTTCGGCGGCATAAAATCGTGCTCGTGCCATTTCAAAACCAGGATCACCGCCCATATTATAAATGTGAAACTTTAAGTCACCACCTGGAATTTTGAAAGAGAAAATATAACTTCAAATAGCTGAATAATTCATTTTATAAATTTTTTTTGATTTCCAATTACAATTGGGCTTATTTTGTTTATTTTTATAAAAAAATTTAATTAAAAACTTTAAACCTTAACAATATTCTTGAAATATTAAACCTAAAGAACCTGCCTTAAAGCAAGGACAGTATACAATTTAAATAAGCTTTAGGTGTTTTATAAAAAAAATATTTAATTTAAAATTGCGATGAAATATTAAAAAGAAAACAATGATAAAGTAAATAACATTTTTCAAGGGTATTCTCTTACACACAACAATACAGAAAAAAATACATCAAAATGTGTATAAATCAAGGAGATAAGTTTAATAAAAATATACGGCATATCTTTAGGCAAACTTAATAAAAAACTAAAAATTTTAATAAAACATTCTGTTCAAATGTTATTAAACTTTATTTTTTTTTAAGTAAGTAAAGTAATATATTTTTTTGAAATCTGAAATTTAACAATGAAATATGTTATATAAACTTACCATTCATAATAGTTAGTACCAAACATAATGCATCCTTGGTCTCATACGCATATGCTAGATTAACCACAAAACGGGAATTTATTTTCTGTAAAATTTGTTTTTCCGTTAAGACCATGGATTCGCCTTTACGTTTTTTAATACGTTTCTTTTCCAATTTTTTACAAGCATACATTTTTCCAGTGGCACGTACCTGTTGGTTAAAGATATGGAAATGTTAATTTTTTAGGGTAAAAAAGTCATGGGGATACTGCGGTATTTTCGTTGTCAAAAACTACAGAAAAAGAAAAAAGTTAATAGTACTGAATTTTCCATGCCTGATATCCATCATCAAAAATATGGGGGTTTAATACTGATTGCAAAGTTGCAATCAGCTCTAGAGAGGGAGCTTTCTAAATCTGGCGAAATAATAAAAACTTAAAAACCGACGCTAAAAACTCTACACGGGAAGCGTCTTCGTTCTTAATGCACCTAAGGGAAGGCTTTTAGCAGATATCAACATAGACAAGGTTCCAGGATCAGATGTCATACCGGCATCGATCTTGTAGCGATGCACTGCAGTCAATTTCTTGAATTTGACACTCTGCTTGTAAAAGCCTGAAGATCTTAACCTTCCACAAAGTCCAATAATTTCCAAATTCCAACCCTAAATCTGCTAAAAGATACGATTTTTTATATATTTCTCTATTTGTATACAATTATCACTTGGCAAACCTATTATTACATACTTTCGTAAACACGTTATTTCTCAGATTATTGCTCGGACTCTAAGGACCTGTTTCTCGAAATAAGAAAGAACTTTTGTTTCTTATACTTATGTATTTGTAACCAAAACAACAAATAAAAGTGAGAAATTTTAACTGTTTTCAATATAAATATAAGATATAACATTTAGATAAAAACCCATCATAATCCTTTTAATTTAAATTTTAATAGAAAAAGAATAACAATAATTTTTATATTTAAAGTTGTTTACAAATGCTGTTTGATTTTTTAACGCTTAAGTATTGAAAATAAAAGATATTAATTTAATAAATATTTATTTATATTTAAAAAAAAAATCTTTCCTCTGAGTTTCCATTTTACTGCTAAATAAATTACTCTTATACCATTTACATTTTTTGTGTCTGTTAAAATCCCCAAAGGCTTTAAAAAACATCAAGTTACTGGCAAAAGTACTTACCTGACATGCACATACTTCGCCAAAACCACCTTTACCCAAAACACGATACATACGAAATGTTTTATACGTTATGGGTTGTGCCTCCAGCCATTTCCATTGTAGGTAACTGTTGGTAAGTAAAATATATATGTATTTACATGAGATTTTATATTAATATCGAAAAAAATTTAATTTAAAAATAAAAAATTAATAAATAAACAAAAAAATCTTTATAAGTGTGCTTTACTTTAATAGTCATAAATTGTTTATAAATTGTAAAAATTTTGACATGAAGTTTTTTTTGTCTTTTAATTCTATAAAATATATCATTTAGTTGAAATAGTATTTGTTTAATCGTATAATTTATTATTGTTTATACAACTGTTTGAAAATATTTTCACTGGAACCCCTTTACGTAGTTATAATTACAAATAAAACAAGATGAGAATAAATAGAAATTTCATATTTAGGTTTACTTAATAAAATTTCTTATTTACTTAAAATGTCATTGTCGTTTTGTTGTTCCATTTTAAAAGTAGTGTTTAAGTAGTAACATAGCAATGCCGAAAAAGTATCTAAAATTAGATATGTATGCAGTTGCAAATTATATTAAATAATAGTTTCCTGTTCATGATTTTTTTAACGCGACCTTGCATAAAGCGACGGCAAGCAGAAAACGTCTAAAAGGGAAAAGGAAAGGGCGGGGAAGCGAGTAAGACAGGAAGGAGAAGAGGGGCAGGCGCAAAAGAGGGCAGGGCACGGAAAACCAGACAAAAGGCGAGGGGAACCAGAACGGCCAGCGAGCGAACAAGCGAACAGGCGAGCGAGGAGCGAGCCGAGCGAGCGAGCGAGCGAGCGAGCGAGCGCAGCGAGCGAGCGAGCGAGCGATGCGAGCGAGCGAGGAGCGAGCGAGCGAGCGAGCGAGCGAGCGCAGCGAGCGAGCGAGCGAGCGAGCGAGCGAGCGAGCGAGCGAGCGAGCGAGCGAGCGAGCGAGCGAGCGATCGACGAGCGAGCGAGCGAGCGAGCAGCGAGCGAGCGAGAGAGCGAGCGAGCGAGCGAGAGAGCGAGCGAGAGCGAGCGAGCGAGCGAGCGAGCGAGCGAGCGAGCGAGCGAGCGAGCGAGCGAGCGAGAGCGAGCGAGCGAGCGAGCGAGCGAGCGAGCGAGCGAGCGAGCGAGCGAGCGAGCGAGCGAGCGAGCGAGCGAGCGAGCGAGCGAGCGAGCGAGCGAGCGAGCGAGCGAGCGAGCGAGCGAGCGAGCGAGCGAGCGAGCGAGCGAGCGAGCGAGCGAGCGAGAGAGCGAGCGAGCGAGCGAGCGAGCGAGAGAGCGAGAGAGCGAGCGAGCGAGCGAGCGAGCGAGCGAGCGAGCGAGCGAGAGCGAGCGAGCGAGCGAGAGCGAGCGAGAGCGAGCAGCGAGCGAGCGAGCGAGCAAGCGAGCGAGCGAGCGAGCGAGAGAGCGAGCGAGCGAGCGAGCGAGCGAGCGAGCGAGCGAGCGAGCGAGCGAGCGAGCGAGCGCGAGCGAGCGAGCGAGAGCGAGCGAGCGAGCGAGCGAGCGAGCGAGCGACGGAGCGAGCTAGCGAGCGAGCGAGCGAGCGAGCAGCGAGCAGCGAGCGAGCGAGCCGAGCGAGCGAGCGAGCGAGCGAGCGAGCGAGCGAGCGAGGAGCGAGCGATGCGAGCGAGCGAGCGAGCGAGCGAGCGAGCGAGCGAGCGACGAGCGAGCGAGCGAGCGAGCGAGTCGAGCGAGAGCGAGCGAGCGAGCGAGCGAGCGAGCGAGCTAGCCGAGCGAGCGAGCGAGCGAGCGAGCGAGCGAGCGAGCGAAGCGAGCGAGCCGAGCGAGGCGAGCGAGCGAGCGAGCGAGCGAGCGAGCTAGCGAGCGAGCGAGCGAGCGAGCGAGCGAGCAGCGAGCGAAGCGAGCGAAGCGATGCAGCGAGCGAGCGAGCGAGCGAGCGAGCAGCGAGCGAGCGAGCGAGCGAGCGAGCGAGCGAGCGAGCGATGCGAGCGAGCGAGCGAGCGAGGAGCGAGCGAGCGAGCGAGCGAGCGAGCGAGCGAGCGAGAGAGCGAGCGAGCGAGCGAGCGAGCGAGCGAGCGAGCGAGCGAGCGAGCGAGCGAGCGAGCGAGCGAGCGAGCGAGCGAGCGAGCGAGCGAGCGAGCGAGCGAGCGAGCGAGCGAGCGAGCGAGCGAGCGAGCGAGCGAGCGAGCGAGCGAGCGAGCGAGCGAGGAGCGAGCGAGCGAGCGAGCGAGCGAGCGAGCGAGCGAGCGAGCGAGCGAGCGAGCGAGCGAGCGAGCGAGCGAGCGAGCGAGCGAGCGAGCGAGCGAGCGAGCGAGCGAGCGAGCGAGCGAGCGAGCGAGCGAGGAGCGAGCGAGGAGCGAGGCGAGCGAGCGAGCGAGCGAGCGAGCGTAGCGAGCGAGCGAGCGAGCGAGCTAGCGAGCGAGCGAGCGAGCGAGCGAGGCGAGCGAGCGAGCGAGCGAGCGAGCGAGCGAGCGAGCGAGCGAGCGAGCGAGCGAGCGAGCTAGCGAGCGAGCGAGCGAGCGAGCGAGCGAGCGAGCGAGCGAGCTAGAGCGACGAGCGAGCGATCGAGCGAGCGAGCGAGGAGCGAGCGAGCGAGCGAGCGAGCTAGCGAGCGAGCGAGCGAGCGAGCGAGCGAGCGCGCGCGATGCGAGCGAGCGAGCGAGCGAGCGAGCGAGCGAGCGACGAGCGAGCACGAGCTAGCGAGCGAGCGAGCGAGCGAGCGAGCGAGCGAGCGAGCAGAGCGAGCGAGCGAGCGAGCTAGCTATCTATCTATCTATCTATCTATCTAGCGATCTATATATATATCTATCTATCTATCTATCTATCTATCTATCTATCTATCTATCTATTCTATCTATCTATCTATCTATCTCTATCTATCTATCTATCTATCCATCTATCTATCTATCCATATTTATTTATTTTGCAACAAGGTTGTATGTTATATAAGTTCTTAAGAAGTACATTTATCCACTATCAGCGCCCCTTTACTAAAGACTCTGGTGGCAATCTAACCTACGACCTCCATAGTGATACTATATTATTACCAATTAACCTACCAAGGCTTCTTACACAAACTAATTTAATTTAATTTCAACTTAATCAATAAATTCACTGAACCTTAGAGTGCTCCATCTTTCGAAATTTTATTATTAAACAATTCTCAGAAGCAATTATTTTCTTCAATGTTTGCATGCGTTAGCAATCGATTACTTACCGATGAAAATACATTGAAGTTTCAAATTCTTGGAATGGTTCACCAGCTAGAAATGCTTTAACGGCCTTGACACATGGTTCAAACAGTTCCTTACTGCCACTGTTGATTTTACTGCGTACCCGAGAAATGAGATCATCATTTAAAATGTCTAAAACGAATTCATCGGAGGCTGATAAAGGTGGTTTAGTCGAATTTCCATTTAACTTGGCAATCAATGTTGTCTCACTACTAACACCATTACCGCCTTCATCATTATTACTCCCACCACCGCCACCTCCGCCATCACCATCGTAAGTGACACCGGAAGATCCACCATGTTCATCACCATTGTGATGTTGAAAATGTTTATGATTGTTGCTACAACTACTACTGGTATTATTGGCGGTGGTATTGTTATATATTTCAGTCTCTACAGGATTTGTTGTTGTTGTTGTTGCGGCTGTTGGCGTTGTATTGATATTTTCCATTTCTATTGAGGTGGATGTTTGATTCTCACGCTGTTTTTCAATACTCTCATCATTAATGGCATCATCAGCATCATTCTCAATGCCATCATCATCGTTGTCAGCACCTTCCACAGTATTGCCATTATTTAATGTGTCCAATGATGAGGGTGCATCGATATCTAAAAATCGACTGCCAATATCTTGTGCTATTGTCAGACGATGTTCATCATATTCTACTTCATATCTAAAAAATGGATGAAGAGGAAATTTGTTCATACTTGAAAAGAAAATATGATTTGTAAATACCTTGCTCTAGGGAGCATTTACACTTACTTTTGGACTTGATCTAAAAATGATATATAACGAAAGTATAGGGGTCTTTTACTTTCACAAAACTGCCGAAACAGTTCGCGTCCAATTGGCTGTTGGTCTATGACATAGCCGTAGCTTATATCTGAAAATAAAAGGGTAAATATTTTTAACATTTAAAGAAAGATAACATATTTTGTAGGGTCTTTGCAAGAGTAGCAAATATGCAATACATGTTTGCTATAAGTTATTGAAGAATTTTTCAAAACCTTTGCAAAGTGTACATTGTACTTGTTATATTTATGGCGTCTACCTGGATAGTATAAGGTCTTGTAAATTTGCATAATATATAGTACAGAATTAAGTTTTTAATTCACATCCTAAAGTCGTTGTCTAGAAAATTTACAAGTGTAGTAAAATGTAAAAGTTCAACTTTCAGTAAATGTCTTCTTCGTAAAAAAAAGATACATACCTAATTTGTCTTTCAGGTGTATACACTGTGATATGTGGGGAAATTGAAGAATTTTTCGCCATTTTTTACTCTTTCCTTTATTACTATCGGAACCACCTGCAAATAAAAAAGATTAAAATAACAACTTTTAACTTTTTAGCTATAAAAAAATCCTTCACATATTAAAGACGAAAATATTAATATGCGGAAAATTTACATAATAATCATAATGAAATGTTATAAAATATATATAAAATCAAATATTTCTTCAAGAAGCTCTTTTAAACAAAAACTGTACAGAAAGATAAAAGGAAACATTTTAATAATTTAGGATTTTACAAAAGCTAAATATAAATTTCCTACAGAGCTATCGCCAAATGAAATGGATAAAAGTCTTGATGTAAAACTCAAAATGAGGAAAAATTTTATATGCTAAACTTAAACTTTAAAGTGTTGAAGAATTTTTAATTTACACATATTTTATTTTGTACATTTTTTCAAATATAGAAATTCTACTTAACACTTTTTGCATTTTAGTCGACGCTGTGAGATATGCCTATAAAAATAGCAATAAAATTTGTTGTTTTAACAACAATTTCTTAGAGAAAAGGACAAACATTTCTTTATTGTTATGGCAGAAATAATAACAAGAAAAGGTACAAAAGAAAAACTTAAAAATTAAGTAATACCTGACTTAAGTTCTCAATTACTTGCACGTAAACGCAGCGTAATGTTTATCAGAATTGTAGATCATTTTTCGTAACTTTTTACTGATTTGTATCGGTTATGTGATTCAAATAAATTCTTAGATAACTTCTCAATAAATTCTCTATTCTCTTTTTATAGAAAAGTTTCGTTAAAATTCTCTTTTTATAGAAAAGTTTCGATAAAATTCTCTTTTTATAGAAAATTTTCGATAAAATTCTCTTTTTATAGGAAATTTCCGATAAAATTCTCTTTTTATAGGAAATTTTCGATAAAATTCTCTTTTTATAGGAAATTTTCGATAAAATTCTCTTTTTATAGAAAATTTTCGATAAAATTCTCTTTTTATAGAAAATTTTCGATAAATTCTCTTTTCATAGAAAATTTTCGATAAATTCTCTTTTCATAGAAAATTTTCGATAAATTCTCCTTTCATAGAAAATTTTCGATAAATTCTCTTTTCATAGAAAATTTTCGATAAATTCTCTTTTCATAGAAAATTTTCGATAAATTCTCATTTTATAAAAAAAATCGATAAAATCTCTTTTTTTAAAAATAATTTCGATAAAAATTTATTTTTTTTTAAATTTTCGATAAGTCTCTTTTTATAGAAAATTTTCGATAAAATTCTCTTTTTATAGAAAATAAAATTTCCTTTTACGGGAAATTTTCGATAAAATTCTCTTTTTATAGAAAATAAAATTTCCTTTTTACAGGAAATTTTCGATAAAATTTCCGTTGTATAGAAAATTTTCGATAAAATTTTCTTTTTATAGAAAATTTGAGATAAAATTATTTTTTTATAGAAAATTTTCGATAAAATTTTCTTTTTATAGAAAATTTTCGATAAAATTTTCTTTTTATAGAAAATTTTCGATAAAATTTTCTTTTTATAGAAAATGTTCGATAAAATTCACTTTTTATAGAAAATGTTCGATAAAATTCACTTTTTATAGAAAATGTTCGATAAAATTCACTTTTTATAGAAAATGTTCGATAAAATTCACTTTTTATAGAAAATGTTCGATAAAATTCCATGAAATTATCTTTTTAAAGAAGATTTTCCATGAAATTATCTTTTTAAAGAAGATTTTCCATGAAATTATCTTTTTAAAGAAGATTTTCCATGAAATTATCTTTTTAAAGAAAATTTTCGATAAAATACTGTTTTTATATTCGATTGATAAGAGGATGTGAGGTATATCAAATCCGAAGAAATACACTATCGGACCTGTTGTGCGCTCCTTTTCATGAAAGAAAGAATTGTTTTTTGACGAATGACGAATGCTTGACAGTGGTAAAGAAAGTGCTCCAGAGTTTTACTGTCCTCTCCACATGCTCTACATTCAACTGAATCCGCACGGGCAATTCTGTATAGATGTGCTCGTAATCCTGTGTGTCCATTCAGAATACGTACTATCATACTAACTTCAGACTTGCTCATTTTGAGGAGATTTCTCCTCTTGTTCTCATCAGGGTCAAACCATAGGATCTTTGTGGTTCTACCCACGGTTTCATTATTCCAAGAGGTCTTATGGGAGATTTCTCATCTTGTTCTCATCAGGGTCAAACCATAGGATCTTTGTGGTTCTACCCACGGTTTCATTATTCCAAGAAAGAATTTAGCTTTTGTTGCCTCGAATGGTTTTGCGTTCGCCAGGTTAAATACCTCGAACCACCTTCCCTTTAAAGCTATTACATTCGCCCTTTCGTTGCCGACTACTCCTGAGTGGCCTGGTACCCATATGATGTAAACCTTACATCTGGTAGAGTATTCTGTTAAAGCTTTCTTACAATCCAATACGGTCTTAGAATTTATTCTATTACCTGATATCGCCCTAATTGCATTCTGGCTGTCGGTAAATATATTAAGGGCTGTGGGCGCCATATTTATTCTAATCCAATTACACATTCCGTTATTGTTCGGAATGGAATGGAAGCTAGTGTTATGATTGGCTAAACTGTGGTAAATTTCAGTTTCTGGGTCTTCATTTTATCCCCCAATTTAGAGCCATCTGTATAACAACGGATTCCTGCTGGTATTTGATCTAGTTTTCCGCTTGACCAAGACATTCTATCTGGGATCAGCGTTTTTATAGATAAATTTCGAAAAATTCTCGTTTTGTAGTAAATTTTCGATAAATTCACGTTTTATATAGAAAATTTGCAATAAATTTTCTAGAGAAATAATGTTATTTTCTAAAACGTTTATGGTTTCCCTAAAAATTTAAGAAGTTTTTTAGTAAAAAAAAGGCTATATGATTTCTCTTTCACAATAAATAAATTTTGTACGACCTTTTTATTGCCTCCATCTGAACCACTTTCTGCCATATAACACACATTTTAAGTACCACTTTTTTTGACTTTATTTCCCAATAGCAACAAAGTAACTACGACTGGGTCTACCCTTAGCAATGATTAAACACTGATGACGCCAATGATGGAAAGGATAACAACGACAAAAACTGTAACATGCAGTAAGAAAAGCTGGGTAAACAATTTAAACAAAATGTTCATTTTTAGTAATAAAAAATAGAACGCTGGAAAATGGCGAGCGTATTACCGCGTTGTCAACATTTTGTCTGTGTTCTAAATAATATTTTAGAAGAATAAGAGGAGTAAAAAACACTTTTTTTAGTTTGTGAGGTAGAGAAGCGGTAATAACATCTTTATGAGGAAAGTCCTTCTTTTTTTGCCTTTTGAAGTCTTAACAAATTTTAAACACAAAATGTCAAACCTTATCTTTTGGAAACATTTTTGCACCATTTAGTTTTCTCATTAAAGACTATAATAACAGTTTTTTAAATTATGATGAACTTTTGGTTTAATTTTTATGCAAATTTAAAATTTAACGTATAGCATTGGTTGCCTAACTTTTAATTAAACAACTTTTTTTTAAGTTCTCTATTTATAGAAATTTTAGATTAACTATTGCTTTAAACAAAACTGTCGGTAATAATTACCATAATCAAAAAAGCTCGAACAAAACATAAAAAGAAATATCCATGTAGCGATAAAGCTAAAAAATAAAATATAAAAAAATATTAAAAACATTCAACATCAACTTATTAATACAATCTGTTAGTACTAATACGCTTAATTAAATTAAATAATTTATTTAATATTTTTTTTTTTAATAAAATGTTTTTTTTTTTTATATACATACATATGTATGTATCTTCAATAATCCATTAAGCTTAGTTTTATATTTTTAGCTCCTTTCAACACAATTCGGTATCATTAGCATTCAGAATACAAAAAATACAAATTCAATGAAAAAGATGAAAATATATGCAGCATACAACTGTCATGTTACAATTCTTGGCAAATAAAACAATATTTTTTGTCACATCATGCTGTGAGGTGAATAGAGATCATTAAAAGTAACATATAACCCCCTGGTGCCCGGTATTCTATTGGCTTAAACTTTGTTGATGCATTTTCTTCGCCCTCGTCTTTTAGTGTTTTTACAGTTTTCGTTTCATGTTACAATCAAATTTACATAGAATTTTGCATGTTTATATGTGCATTAGATATGTATGTTGTCAGGTGGGCATAAGTGCATATTCATTAGATAGCTTCAAAAAATTAACTTAAACTTTTAGTTCAATTCGCTCCCTATTCAGATAATACTTAACTGATTAATATAGTTTAGAAAATACATATGTATATCGGTCTATAGTCAAGATTATAGACTGATATTTAGTCTTCACTATATCCACGGTGTCTCCACTACAGACTGATCTGTAGTCTTGACAATAGACTGTTTTATAGTCCTTTCTATAGACTCTATAGATCAGTCTGACTATAGACTGATCAGCAGTCTGGACTATATAGAATGTTTTATAGTCCTTCCATAGACTGATCTATAGTCTTCACTATAGACTACTCTATAGTCTTGACTATAGACTGATCTATAGTCATGACTATAGACTGATCTATAGTCATGACTATAGACGGATCTATAGTCATGACTATAGACTGATCTATAGTCATGACTATAGACTGATCTATAGTCTTGCCTATAGACTGATCTATGGTCATGACTATAGACTGATCTATAGTCTTGACTATAGACTGATCTATGGTCATGACTATAGACTGATCAATAGTCTTGACTATAGACTGTTCTATAGACTTAACTATAGACTGATCTATAGTCTTGACTATAGACTGATCTATAGTCTTGACTATAGACTGATCTATAGTCTTGACTATAGACTGATCTATAGTCTTGATTATAGACTGATCTATAGTCTTGACTATAGACTGATCTATAGTCTTGACTATAGACTGATCTATAGTCTTGACTATAGACTGATCTATATCAGTCTTGACTATTGACTGATCTATAGTCTTGACTATAGACTGATCTATAGTCTTGACTATAGACTGATCTATAGTCTTGACTA